AGAGAGTGATTGATCACTTGAGGCTCCTCAATCGAGACCGCCCCGGAGACAAAGAGTGCGAGGCACGCAATGAGGCGCTCTTCGACTATTCTATCAAGAAGGGCGAGATGTTGACCGATTACGTGGTGAGAAGGGACCAGCAGATTGATTGCTGCCGAGGAGCGCTTCGGGCTCACGCTGCCAGACACGGTGAAGGCCATGTGCGATGAAGAAGGAGCTAACCTCACGTCTCAGATGGCCGTTAACCTTCGGACGTTGATGGGCGGCAAGGAGAGCGCCGAGGCGGCGGGGCCCGCTCTGCTGGATATGGACATAGCCGAGAAGCCGACGTTGCCCAAGCAGCAGTCGACCGCACAGTCGAGGACTTTCGCGACGACGATCAGAGAGGATGAGGAGTATGAGAGTCAGGCGTGCGACGATGGAGATTGTCTCGTGCTTTTCGAGATGGGCTTTGATGAAGACGAGTTAGCCACGATTTGGGTGTCGCTCGACTCGCAAGATCTCTCTGAGGGACACATCGTTGACGCATTCGCAGAAGTTACTCTACCTCGTAGGCGAAAGACGCGGGCAGAGGCAAGACAGATGAAGACTGCGGAGAAAGTGGATCGGGACTTCTTCGACCGTCGGAAGCAGGGCACGAGAAAGGTCACGCGTGATGATTTCAAGAGGAGGTCGAGATGTTCCAGCTGCAGTGAGAAGGGGCACTGGAGAGAGGACTGTCGCAAACCGTGCAGGAGCAAGGCCGATCGCCTGAAAGCAGAAGCATCTCGACCGACTTAAGATCGAAAGCCAAGCCATTCGTTCTATTGGTCGGTGACCTAGGCGGGCGCGCTCCTCTGGCCCATCGGGTGGTGGAGTAGCTCGCGTGCATACTAGCAGCTATTATGGATCCTTTGGGGATGCAGTCGAACAGCGTCGGGCGCACGGTGGTATTTCCTGACGATCGGGCGCGGCGTAGTCCTGGAGGTAGCGTGCGGCTTGACAAGTGTGCACGGCTTGGTGATCGTGGACAATTCGATGACAGTGTACGGCATGATGGAAGGCACTGTAATGCGCACGGCCTTATGAACCGCTTGCATGGTACGGCTTGAGCGTCCACCCCACGGGAACTATGACATCGTGAACGCCATGACATACTAGTTTGAATCCGGCGGGTGCCTGGTTCTTGGGTATTCCCTGAGACCGAGGTGGTTGAGGCTCACAGGATGCCCGTCCGAATGTTGCTATCTTCTGTCGTGAACAGGCTGCATTGGGTTTTGCGCGTATGTTGATATTCTTCACAGTCCGTCGAAAGGCGAGACGCTGGTGGTCACGTGGTCAAGTATTACAAGACTTGGCATGAGCTGTGTGAGGTCCCGCCCCTGAGCGCCCGAAGCAATGGCGAGAGCAGATCCTGCTACGTGTCGCTTGCTCGCGAGTGCCGGCCCTAGACGAGGAAAGTCGGTGGATTGAGAAGAAGTGCGGGTGACACCTGGATGTTTGACACTTGCTTCTGAAGGCAGTCTGAAGGTCTCACCAGCACACCAATAGGCACTGCTGCAACAAAACTTGCTGCATTGCTGCACGTCGCCTTCGGGCCCGAGGTGCTGCCGAGTGCCGTGGGGATGGCCATTGGACATAGTGAAAGACGTCCTCGTGCTGGCGGGGGTGGACAGGCTCTGGATACTGTGCTTTCGTGCTCTTTGCCGGCATATCGCTTGTGGCCTGCAGGGTGTCTTGCTCCTTGTCTGCATGATGGTCGTCTTCGTTTCCATATGGACATCAAGCTCTTGCCCCCGCTTGTACCCCCCCCGGCCTTCTCTTCCTCCTTCGGTTCGCCGGGTGCGGGCGGTGTCATCTCGTGTCTCGGGGGGGAGGGTGGCAGGGGGGCCAGAACAAAACATTCTCCTCTCTTCCCCTCAGTTCCTGGTCTTTCTCCCCCTCCTGCTTTCCTCCGCTACCCTGCTGCTCTCATACTGATTCTCTTACGCCGGCTGCTGCTGCTGCTGTTCGTCCTCCTCCTTTCTCCTGCTCCTCCTCCTCCTCCTCCTCCTTCTCCTCCTCCTCCTCCTCCTCCTCTTCCCCCTCCTCCTCCTCCTCCTCCCCCTCCTCCTCTTCCTCCTCCTCCCCTCCTCCTCCTCCTCCTCCTCCTCCTCCTCCTTTTCCTCCTCCTCCTCCTCCTCCGCTCGCCTTCCCTCCCCTTCCTTCTCCTCCTCCTCCTCCTCCTGCTCCTCCTCCTCCTCCTCCTCTTCCTCCTCCTCCTCCTCCTTCTCCTCCTCTTCCTCCTGCTCCTCCTCCTCCTCCTCCTCCTCCTCCTCCTCCTCTTCCTCCTCCTCCTCCGCTCGCCTTCCCTCCTGCTCCTCCTCTCTTTCCTAGTCCCTGCTGCTGCTGCTGCTGCTCCTCCTGCCCTTCTTCTCCCCCCCCCTCCCCAGCACCCGCGGGGGGGCGAGCCCCGTCCTCCTGCTCCTCGCGTTCCTCCTCCTCCCCCTGCTCCTCGTCGTCTTTGACCCCCCAGGCTTTGGCTGCGTGATGGTGTCATATCTTCCAGCCTCCCCTCCTTGCCTCCGTGTTCTCGCTCCCTGCCGCCTGCCCGCGCCGCTCGACTCGGCGGGCGCCTTTGGGCACTGGGGCGCCAAGGGGCGCGCCGCCCCGAGCCGCGCCAGTCGAGAGAGAGAACGGGTGGGGCCTCTCTTGTCCGGACCCCCCCCACTGTTGTTCACGTCGTTCCAATCCCAATTCTCTCGAGCTGTCGCCGTATAGCCATGCCCTCGTGCCACCACCGCCTCCATCGTTCTGCCCGTGCGGGCCCAGTTGTGAGGGCGCCGGGTCCAGAAGGTGCGCGACGAAGTTTCACTAGCAGGCAAGGGTGTGGGGGAACGGCATGTCGAGGGCCAGACGAGTCGCGTGGGTGTCCTGTCGCCACGCTTGTGACAAAATATCGCGCCCGCTGCGATCATAAACCCGGGCATTGATGCGCGCCTGCAAGGAGGTGTTTTGTGTGTCAGAGCTCTTCGGCGGGCCAGGGGAACGCAGGGTGAGCAGTGCACAAAGAGAGGATGGAGCCTTGAGGGCAAGCCGTGCACAATAAGGGAATAGCGGTGACAGCGCTGGTGGCGAGGACGAGGATACGCATGCTGACGGGGGTGCTTTACAACCGATGGGTGCGATGGTGACGACGCTCGGATGGCGGGACGCGTTCTCTTTGCCCCCCTTGCGGCTTCACGTGAGAGTCACCTGTGGTGCGCGGTTTTCGGGGGGGCAAGCCCAAGCGCGCAAGCCGCTATTGTTGCATCGCCTGCAGCAGCCGGCAAGCCGCGCACCAAAGGTCATTCTTGCCTAGGGCCCTTCCCCAGACATCTGATGTCTCGAGTCTCTCCATGTGGGGTCCCCAGAGTCAGCCACGCGCAGAAGGGGGTGGGAAAGGGGGGAGGGCCTCTTAGAAGCACCCCGCTTCCTAGAAGACGCGTGCCTTCTCTGTAGATGTAAGGCCGGCGCCTTCTAAGAAGCTGCCTCCTAAGAAGCCCTCCCCCCATCCCTCCACCCCCTGCGCGCCGCCAACAGAGGTCTGGACCTGTTTTGCGTCCTGAGGCGTGACGGTCCCTGGGCCTGGCGAGGGCCCCGAGAGGCCGAAGATTGAGGCAAACCTCCGCGTCGAGTTTCTCCAGACGTTGGAGGTCTGGGCCTTCTAAGAATAACAAGAGGTCTGGGTCTTCGCCGACCTGTCTGTCTTGCTACACCTTCGAAGAATAATCAAAGGCCATCAGCAGAATTTGTTGGCGCTCCGCGCGGATTTCTTGGATCCGCGCCCAGGCCCCCCGGCAGCGCCTCCGGCGCCGCCCCTGGCGCGCTCCGCGCGCCAGGGAGGGGGGTCCAGCGCGAATCCAAGCAGACCGCGCGGAGCGCCAAAAGTTTATGTCTGTGTGGCTTCTTCCTCTTCTTCTTCTTATTATTCTTCTTATTATTATTATGTCTTCTTCCTTCTTCATTATTCCTTCTTCCTTCTTCTTCTTCTTCGTAATATTATTTTTATTATTATGATTATTATTATTGTTATTCTTATTATTAGTATTAGTATTTAATCGCTTCGCTCATTCCGCCGGCCCATACAGTCTCATGTCTGCCGTTTGCCCGAGGGCCTGGTGTCAATGCTGCGCTTTGGGGGTTCCTGGGGCCGCTTGGGGGACTCCTGGGGCGCTCGGGGGGGCATTTGGGGGGCCTCCTGGGGCCGCTTGGGGGACTCTTGGGGGCCTCCTGAGGGCCCCGTGGGGGCCTCTTGGGGCCTCTTAGGGGCCTCGTAGGGGCTTCTTAGGGCCGAGGGCTCGAAATGTTGTTTCGTGTTCCCTCTCTGGGGCCCCTTTGGGGGCGTTCTTGGGGCCCTCTTGGACCGTTTTGGAGGCTTCTTGGGCCGTCTTCGAGCCCTCTTGGGCCATCTTGGGGCCCTCTTGGGTGCCTCTTGGGCCCTCTTGGGGCGATCTTGGGGGCCTCTTGGGCCGTCTTGGGGCGTCGGGAAGCCGAAAAGGTGGAAGCTCCAAAATCTCTCAAAAACCTATGGAAAAACAATGATTTTTGCCTCCGGGGGCCCTATTGGGAGTGCTCTTGGAGGCCTCTTGGGGCGTCTGGGGGCTATCTTGGGCGTCTTGGAGCGATCTTGTGGCATGTCGGACCCCTCGTGTACCATCTTGGGGGCCTCTTGGGGGCCTCTTGGCCTTTCTTGGGGCTCTCGGGGACGTCTCGGAGCCCTGTTGGTGCGCTCATGGAGCGCTCGGGGGGACCCGGCCGGGACCCGGCCGGGACCCGGCCGGGACCCGGCCGGGGACCGGCCGGGACCTGGTCGGGGTACTTTTCGTCCGGGGACCCCCAGGGGCCGCCCCGCGCGCGCGAACTAGAAAATTGTTAACCAGTTACCGGAGATCTTAGCACGCCTCTGGCCCGTTGGGCCGGCGAATTATTATTATTATTATTCCTCTTCCTCTTCGTCTGCACCTGCCAGCTGCGCTCGCGGGGGCGCCCGCCGAGCCCAGGCGCTCCTGGACAAGCAGGTCGAGTTCCACGAAGCGCTCGTGCTCCTGGCGGCGGCGGTGCACGCCGCCCCCGGGCGGGGCCGCTCCTCTTCCACGGACTTCTCGGGGGAGCGTAAGACCCGGGTTTGCCAGGACTCGGGTTCGCCATCGTTTTTTGACGACCGCGCCTCGGATTTTGACGAGGAGGAGTTTCGTGGGATGTCTGCAGCGGGAGGCCTCGTCAAAATGCAGGCTCGGCCTCGTCATTTTTTTGACGACCTCGTCGGGGATTTCCGAGTTCCCTGTACCCAGGTCTTACGTCCCCCTGAACTTCCGCGAGCCGTGGCACCAGTGAGGACGGTGTGCTCAGTGTCAAGCCGGGCGCGCCCCTCCACAGGAGGAGTATCCAAAAGCAGTGAAAAACAAGAATTCGTCTGGGGGGACGATTTCTGTGGACCATTTTTGAATCTGCTTTTGCATATGTGGGGACATTTGGGGGACATTTTTTGGGACAATTTTGTTGGGATTTGACGATTTTGTGGACATTTTTTGAATTTGACGATTTTGTGGACAATTTTTTGGGGATGTTTGTAATGTTTCGTCCAACATCCCCCTGTGGGGGGGACAGGCCCGACCTAGCACTGGTAAGACTTGCTGGGGCCGTGGTGCTTCGCGCTCTCCGGGGCGCTTTCCGGCCCCCCACGCCGCCCGGTCCCCTCGCGTGGGCTCTTGCTTGCGCGGGCTCCGTCATCTGTCTCCGTGACACTCGTCAGGACGGAGCCTTTCTTCCCCTCCCCCTCCTCCTCCTCCTCCTCCTCCTCCTCCTCCTCCTCCTCCTCCTCGTCCTCCTCCTCCTCCTCCTCCTCCTCCTCCTCCTCCTCGTCAGGACTATTTCCGCTCCCTGGTGGCCGTTGCCGGGCCTCGGGGCCGTTCTGAGACAGGTCAGGATGCAAAGCCGGGTCCAGGGGCCACTGGAATCGGGAAGATTCACTTCCAAAGACGTTCCAAACGTTCAGGGTCCAAGACGTTCTAAAGAAGATGGAAATCGGGAAGACAGATCAGGATCCAAAGACGTTCTAGAAGATTCACTTCCCGGGGCCTGGGGCCCCGGGAAGTGAATCTTCTAGACCCCCAGGCCTGGGTCCACGTTCCCAAACATTGGGCGCTGCGATTGTCTCACAGCGTGGATCCCCAGAGGTCTGGACCCCCTTCCCGGGGACTGGCTCTTCTTTCAACGTAAATAATTGAGGTTTCCAGGGCCCACTGACGGGCCCCAGAGGGCAAACACAGCTCACAACTGTTCGTTTTTGTTGTTGCTCGCCTCTGGGGGGGCACGTTGTGTCAAAGCACCATGGGGCCGCTTCGGGAAGACCCTAGCCGATTTGCTTGCGAATCGGGCTGTTGGCTGGCTGGTTCCCGTGGACGGTCTCGGCCGGCATGCTTCGGCGCGGAGGTGCCAGGCCAGCTCCCAGTCTTCGGCTGGGCTCGCTGCCTTTCTTGTTTGATGCGTCGCGCGGCCGAGATAGCAGACGATGCGGTGGATTGCCCTCCCCGAAAGACGAGGTGGGAGGCGGTGCCGTGGCTGCTTTCCAGCGTTGCCCAGAGGAGGGTGGCGCGAGGGGGGCGGCGTTGTGGACGGCAGAAACAGGCAGGGGGGGTTCTCATAAGCCCCCCCCGCTTTCCGAAGAGCCTCCTCAGAGGCCTCCGCCCCCTTTTCAGAACGCCTCCTTGCCCTTCCTCTTGGTTGGCTGGCACACTTCGGCGACTCATCTTTGATGTGGATGCTGCTTGAAGGGTCGCTTGCGTGGGGGAAGAAGCACCTTTCAGAACGCCTCCCTGCTTGTTAAGTACTTGCTCGCAGGCCGTCCCCCTCGCCCCGCCCCCCTTTCTGCCCGCCGCCAAGTTGGCGCGAGCCAGCTCTGGCTGTGCAGACGGGGGTGGGGGGTGGGGCGGTTGATGAACAAAATCCTGCACCTTTTTGAACATTTTTTGTTTCCGTCCTCCGCGCCCCCCAGTTGATATTGCCAGGCTGTGGCGCGATTTTGTCGATCCGCCGACTGGCCGCAATCCTGCGCCCCGCTGGCACAGCCAATCAACATTGAATCGGGGCAGGGGGGCGCGTGGAAGTTTGCGCCGTCGCCCCGGTTGCGCGGCTGGTGTCGGATTTTGTCCATCAACCGGGCTTCCAGACATCGGGAAGTTCTCTGGACTCCTCTTCGGCTCCCGGGGGAGGGGGGCTGCTGCTCGTGTTGGAAGCACAGCACTGGAGCGCTTCGGAGAGAAGGGGGGCCGACGCTGTTTTCTGGGTTCGCAGCGAGGACCCCCGGAGGTCTGGACCGCTTGGCTCCTTCCCGTCCCCGCCACCTCAGAAGGTGGGCGAGTATTAAGTCGGGCGTGCCCCTCTACAGAGGGGGAGTATTCAAGAATAGTCCAAAAATAGTCTGGGGACGATCTTTCAAATTTTATTTGCCAATTTTGGTGTATTTTTCGGGGTAACGTTAAGTGTTTCGTCAAACATCTCCCTGTAGGAGGACAGGCCCGACTTAAGGCGAGTACGACTCCCCCTCCTGGGCCCCCCTCAGGGCCGGTTTGGGCCGTCTTGAGGCCCTTTTGTCTTGGGCCGTCTTGCAGGCCTCTCGGGGGCCCGTTGGGCTCTCTTGGGGCTTCTTGGGGGCCTCTTGGGCCGTCCTGAGGCCACCTTGGGCGTCTTGAAAAGCCTTTGGGCCGTCTTGGGAGCCTCGTGGGGCACTCTTGGGCCATTTGGGAGGCCCTCTTGCCTTCCAGAGGTCACGCGGGCACGCCCGACGGCACGCGACAAACGCTGGGAGCGCCCAGGACTCGGGGCTGCGGGCCCCATTCCTGAGTCTTATCATGTTCAACACAGAGGGCTCGGTGGGGAACTGAGAACGCTCCACTTCCTGCCTCGATATGTGCGCACAGGGAAGAACAATCAGCTGGGCATCAAGAGACTATCAGTTCTCTCTTCCGTCCTCGGAGCGTCCTTCGGTGTGCCTCGCTGGCGGCGGAGGGCGCCGGAAGGGGAGGGGGAGGGGGATCCCAGGGTGGCGTCAGGGAGTGAACCTGGCCGCCTTCTCACGCTTCCCTCTCCCAGGGGCCGCTTCGGGCGAGCCTCTTCGGGCCCAGCCTCTTCTCCTGCCCTGCCCCTCCCTGCCCCGCCCTGACGACCCCCCAGGAGGGTCCAAACGTGAGAGGGCAAGCCTCTGTGGATCCGGGGGCCACTGGAGTCGGCCCTCCCTGCCTCCCGCCTCCTCGGACCTCTCGGCGACTCGAGCAGCACCTCTCGTGGGCAGCCTTCTGCCGCCCATCTCGGGGCTCCAGGAGGAGGAGGAGGAGGAGGAGGAGGAGGAGGAGGAGGAGGAGGAGGAGGAGGATCCTGGGTTGTCAAGGAGGCCCGGGGGGCCCAGGGGCCTGCGGCTCGACAAACACTGGAGTCGTCGGAGGCCTGGGTCCCTCGCTCCCCTCTCCCTCCCTCCTCTCCGGCCCTCCCTCCGTCCCTCCTCCCTCCCTCCTTCCCCTCGTGCCTCGCGCCTCCTTCCTTCCCTGCGTCCCTCGCTCCTCCCTCCTGCCCTCCTTCGGCCTCCTACTCCCTCCTCCCTCCGCTCTCCACCACCCCTCCCTCTCCCCTCCCTCCATCCCTCCCCCCCTCCTACCCACATCCCATTTGTTCAAGTTCTCTCTCTCTCTCTCTTCCTCCTCCTTCCTCCCCGCCAGGTGCTGTACGTGGGGGCAGTTTATTTTACAACTGACTTGGTGGCCTTCGCATCCAAGTCTTGCTCACCCACGTCGCCGATCTCGCCTACTGAGGCTGGGCGGTGCCGCTTGCTGGGGCCGTCTGCTGCTTACAGCCTGTGTTCTTGCAGCTTGCAGTTCCCGCATTTTTGGATACAGTGTGGTTTGCCCCCCTTATCTCTCAACACCGCTTACCTACTTACGGCAGGTCCGCGTCGTGTCGACGCGGCGGCGACTCCGCCGCGGGTGTTCAAGGTTTCGCTGCCAGTGGCCCAGAATCGGCAAATAACAAACGTTTGGCGATCAAAAAGCCGCCGATCGTTCCAGGTTGAAAGATCCGCGCGGTATCAGGAACCATCGCCGGAGTCGTCACGACACGAACCTGCCGCACTTACTAACACGTCATTCGTGCACCTGTTTGTTTGGTGACTCTCTTGGCCAGGTGCGCTGCCGAGCGTATCCGCCAGTGTTTGTTTTGGGGAGAAGCAGCGCAGCAGTGCTCCATCACCATGCTGTACGCTGGATGTCTGTGGCGTTGCATGTCTGTGAAGTGGATGCGTGGCATCGCTGCGTCTAGATATATGTATTCAACTAAGTTCGCGATCGAATGAACAGCCGTGGGGAAGCCGCACTACAGAACAACCATAAGACAACCGCACGCGATTGCCATGGGACACCTGTGCAGCAAAACCGCGTAGTAACCTCATTGTAAACCGATCGCCCAACTAATACCACGCAAATGAAGCCTGTTGTTCCGTGAATTTGGGCCATGTTTGAACCCAGTTTTTCGAGAGAAGAATCAGGGCCCCCTGTAGCCGCACCAGATGCAGACACGTAATTGCGCCAATGTCGAAGAACGGCTCTCAATTAGATAGGTAAGAAAGAGCCCTATATTGTCTTGTGAATATCAATCCTGATTTTGTTGTGAATGTCGAGCCGACTTGCTCGGTCGTGACATGAGACTTGAAACATACACGTGAAATTCAATGCGGTTTCGGGGTGTTCATTTTGCAGAAATCAAAGTAAGTTTCCCCGTCTGCAAAACCAGAGCCATGAGAACCGCGCTCCGCTTTTTCTGCGCAGTCTAAGGTTTCGTTTGTTGCTTCGCCGATTGCGGGTTGGACCTCGCGTGACTCCAGGTTCGCGTGATACGCTTTGCCAGATTATTTGCAGTTGGTCGTGGCGAGTGCATTTGGGAAACAGAAATCGCGCTGCACCGAAACCAGCCGATTCCCGAAGGCACTGGCTGCCGTTTGGCAGCGCGCTCGGCCTTTAAAGTTCCACGCTCGCACTGCTGTGGCAAGTGTTGGGTATAAAGTCCTTCGCCGAGGGTCCGTTCCTTCACCTGTGCACGCCATGATTGTGTTTCGACCTTGCTTCTTATCGTTATTGTCGATGTCCCGCGGGTTTAACATGCAGTTTTGCTTGATGTTTTTTTTGGTGCTGCTCTTGCTGCCACTGGCACAGGATGGATGCTGCACATTTTGGAGCGTCGATCTGTGCCTGCAAACTTGAGCGAGACAAGACGCGCCTTCTCCTGGCCCTCCTCATCTTGCCCGGTTTCAGCGCATCAATCATCGCCCACATGAAGACATCCAACGACGCCTTTTGCCTGGGGATGTTGTGGACTGCTTCCATACCATGCACTTGGCACAACGTCAGAAACAAACATAACAACGCGCAGAACGCCATCATGGAATAGCTCTTCCATTGGACAATGAGTATAGTTTCCATCGCGTGTTCACCCAATTCGTTGTCGCAAGTTTCGCTGCGATGTTTTCTGGTCGCTTGTTTGTTGTTTTGTCATTTCGGCGTCATCATCCCTGGTCCGTTCCAGAACACTGTCACGTGGCATGTGCACGGTGCGTGCAGGTTCCAGATGTGGACGTACCTATGGGAGGCAAAGGGATTTACATGTGGGATGCGGTATTAGAGTTACGCACATACTAATCGCACGTGTTTTTTCGACGATGTGTTTCTGGATATGGATGCTTGTGGTACGTTGCAATCAGCACGCGGCGTAAAGTGTGTCCGCGATAACAATTCGCACGATTCGTGGCCCCAAGTTGTGCTGCGGCCGTCGAACATCATCTTGCCAAAAGACGAGGAACATCCTGCAATTTACGCTTTCGCTTCTCGCGAGTCCAAGAGTGGCAGTGGAAAGCGGAGAACACGACAAGCATTCCGCATAGCCACTGTCCACATCATCCCCCCTTCATTTTGCACGTCCCGCGCGCATGATGCTTTGGCGCCCAGGCCAGAGGACGCGCGAGGACATCGTCCGACCTGACACGGCACAGGGCTGCCTCGTTCCACGGGGTGGAGGTGCAGGTCGAGGAGCACCCCCGCAGGGCGGGAGGACCAGGAACCGAGGCTCTTTCGAGGCCTCCATGCCAGCCACCCCTGAGGGGATCTTCCCTGCAGGCTCCACCGCTCGAAGACAAGTCACACGACGTCTCGGACGACGACGATCCCGCTCGCGAAGCGAGGCTGTGGGTCGAATAGCGTCTCCATCGTTGGCCTGTGTGTTTTTTCAAACCTCTGGCCAGTACGTGTGCGGCTGGTCCTTGTCAGGCCAAAGACAAGTCACACGAATGGTCATACACAGATAGCGGCGCACCGGGCTCGGGGGCCAAGGGCCAGAACCTCGACCGCAAATGTGGGTCCCGGGGCCCGGGCCCGCCTCTGGGAGGCATAAAATCGCCCCGGGGAGCCCTCAGACAGCAATCCCAGCGGCCCCAGACGATCTCGAGACACCCCCCAGACGCCGTCCAGGGGTCTCTGGCGATGCACGATGCGTTTTAAATTGACTTGGAGGCCCCCAAGACGCCCTAAGAGGCCTTTCAGATGCCGCCCAAGATCGCCCCGAGAGGGCAAAATAGTTGATTTTCATGTTTTTTTATAATGTTTTTTGCATTCTCGCTGTCTCGTGTTTCCGGCGCTAAGGCACCGCCCAAAAGGCTCCCCAAACCGCTCCAAGACGGCCCAAGAGAGCCCCGAGACGGCCCCAGAGCCGCCCAGAACGGTGCAAGAGGGTCCCAAGAAGGCCCCAAGAGGGGTCCAAGAGAAGGAATGCGAACTGAAAAATCAAGCTCTCCGCCCCAAGATGCCCCCAAGAGGCCCCAAGAGGCCCCCCCCAGGAAGCCCCCACGAGGCCCCAAGAGGCCCCCAGGAGGCCCCAAGATGCCCCCATAAGCCCAAAAGAGGCTCCAAGAGGCCCCAAGACGGCCTTCAGACGGCCCAAGAGGCCCCCAAGATACCCAAGAGGCTTCCAAGGGGTCTCCCAACAGAGCTCGAAGATGCCAAAACATATGTGTGTTCCATCGGTTTTTGAACAATTTTGGCGTTTCCGCCTGTTCCGCTTCCTGACGCTGCAAAACGCTCCGTGAGGCTCCGAGGATCGCCCCAAGAAGGCCCAATAGGCTTCAAAAACGCGCCAGGACGGTCCAATTGGCTTCAAAGGCGCCGAAGAGACGTCCAAGACGGCCCGAGAGGGCCCCGACCGCGGCCCAGGATCGGGAACGTGAGCCGAGAACCCGAGATCGTCGCCCCAGGAGACCCCCAGGAGGCTTTGAGAGGTCACCAAGAAGCCCTAGAGAGGTCCAAAAGAGCCCCGAGAGAGGCCCTGAGGGCAATTGAGAAAAACGGAATGTCCAACATTTGTTTCAAAGTTCGCTTGGCAGGTTCGCGACGCTTATCAAAAGGTAAATATCAGATTCCCTCCTCCTCCTCCTCCTCTTTCTCCTCCTCCGGTTCCTCCTCCTCCGGTTCCTCCTCCTCTGCGGCCTCTTCCACCCTCTCCAATTCTTCCTTATCCTCCTTCGTCTTCTTCCCCAGGAAAACCCTTCACCTCCCCCTCTCCTCCATCTTCCTCTGGCTACGTCCAGCCGCGGCGAATAAAATGTGCCCCCGAACTGTTTTTTTGAGCTTGTCTTAATCAAGACGTCGTGGGTGGACCGTAGGAAGTCTTGGAAGCCGCTTCGGCAGTCTTCGTGGTTCTTGGAAGCCCCGGAGAAGAAGTGTCATGGAATAGAGATCCCAAGAGTTCGACCATCCAGTCTAGCTAGATCTTGAGCGCGCGCGAAAAGCGCGATATTTCCAGTCATATATACACATGCGCACCGATGTACATATTAATACCGAAAGCGCCTACGGCGAATCACCGCCGCCCCCTGCCTTTTGGAATCGCCCAGGTGGCCGAGCGTTGTGGCAAGAGCTCCGCCAAGCTTTCGGGACATGCTTCCCCGAGCCGTTATGGAAACCCTTCGGGGAACACTTGTTGGACGATGGCGGGGAAGAACAGGAGGAGGAGGAGGAAGAGAAGGAGGAGGAGGAGGAGGAGCCTCTGGGGGCACTCTTGGGGCCTCCTGGGAGCTTGCTGGGAGCCTCTTGGAGATATCTTGGGGGCCTCCTTGGGCCTCTTGGGGGCCTTTGGGGGCTTCTCGGGGTCCTCCTTGGCCGTCTTAGGGCCTCTCTGGGCCGACTTGGGGCCCTCTTGGGGGTGCTCCAGGGCCGTCTTGGAGGCCATCTTGGGCGTCTTCGAGGCCTCTTGGGCAGTCTTGGGGCCCTCTTGGGGCAGTCTTGGGGGTCTCTTGGGCCGTTCTGGATCGTTCTGGGGCGATCTTGTTGGCTCTTGGGCCGCCTCGGGCCTTCAGAAGGCAGAAAATAAGCAAACCCCGACATCTTTCAAACACATAAGGATAGTCATTGATGTTGGCATCTTTGGGCCTCCCTAGAGGCCCTCCTGGGGGCTTCCTGGGCCGTCTTGGAGACCTCTTGGGGGCCCCTTGGGCCGTCTTGGGCCATTTTCGAGCCACATTGGGCCGTCTTGATAGCGTCGGAAGCCGTTTCAAGGGCCTTTCTGGGCCGTCTTGGGGCCCCCTTGGGGTGTTCCAGGGCCGTCTTGGAGGCCATATTGGGCGTCTTGGAGGCCTCTTGGGCAGTCTTGGGTCAGTCTTGGGGGTCTCTTAGGCCGTCATGGGGCCATCTTGGAGGCCTCTTGGGCGATCTTGGGGCGATCTTTTGGGGCTCTTGGGCCATCTCGGGCCGTCGGAAGGCCGAAACGAAGCGAATGCTAACATCCGTCAAACACCAAAGGAACATCTATGATTTGGGCCTTTTCGAGCCTTCTTGGAGGCCCTCTTGGAGGCCTGTTGGGCCGTCTTGGAGACCTCTTGGGGGCCTCTTGGGCCGTCTTGGGCTATCTTGGAGCCATTTTGGGCCGTCTTGGTGGCCCGCTGGTGCGTCTGGCGCCCTCGGAAGGAGTCTTGGGGGCCTCTCTGGGCCGACTTGGGGCCCTCTTGGGGTGCTCCAGGGCCGTCTTGGAGGCCAGCTTGGGCGTTTGGGAGGCCCCTTGCGCCATCTCGGGGCAGTCTTGGGGGTCTCTTGGCCCGTTCTGTGGCCATCTAAGAGGCCTCTTGGGCGATCCTGGGGCGATCTTTGGGGGCTCTTGGGCCGTCGGAAGGCCGAAACGAAGCAAATGCTAAAATCTTTTACATACCTATCGGACAATCAATGATTTTGGCCTCTTCGGGCCTTCCTGGAGGACCTCTTGGAGGCCTTTTGGGCCGTCTTGGAGGCCTCTTGGGCCGTCTTGTGGCCATCTTGGAGGCTTCTTGGACGGACTTGGAGGCATCTGGAGCCCTTTCGGGCCGTCTTGGAGGCCATCTTGCATCGTCTTGAGCGAACTTGGAGGCCATCTTGGACCATCTTGGGCGAACTTTGAGGCTATCTTGGCCGTCTTGGAGACCATCCCTTTCTGGTTTTGTGGTCCTTTCGGGTGGCCGGCGGGACTGGCTGAAGCCCGAGGGAGAATTCTTTTGGAAAAAGAACCCAAACCAAACCAGTAGGATTCAGCACGCCGCGCACCCCTGCGGCAAGAGCACAGGGGGAGGCGGATCGAAGACGCCTACGGCGAATCACCGCCTGCTCCTGCCTTTTAGAATCGCCCATGTGGCCGAGCGTTGTGGCAAGAGCTCCGCCAAGCTATCGGACCATGTGTTCCCCCAACCATTCTGAGAACCCTTCGGGGAACACTTGGGGGACGATGGCGGGGAAGATCAGGAGGAGGCGGAGAACAAGGTGGAGGAGGAGGAGGAGGAGGAGGAGGAGGAGGAGGAGGAGAAGGGGGCATCTTGGAAGCCTCTGGGGGCACTCTTGGGGCCTCCTGGGAGCTTCCTGGAAGCCTCTTGGAGGCATCTTGAGGGGCCTCCTTGGGCCTCTTTGGGGCCTTGGAGCCTCATTGGGCCTCTTGGTGGGCTCCCGGCCCGCCTGACGCCGTCGGAACCGTCTTGGGTGCCTCTCTGGGCCGACTTGGAGCCCTCTTGGGGTGCTCGAGGGCCGTTTTGGAGACCATCTTGGGCGTCTTGGACCTTGGAGGCCTCTTGGGCCGTCTTGGGGCTCTCTTGGGGCCGTCTTGGGGGCCTCTTGGGCCGTTCCGGGGCCATCCTGGAGGCCTCTTGGGCGATCTTGGGGCGATCTTTAGGAGCTCTTGGGCCGTCTCGGGCCGTCGGAAGGCCGACAAGAAGCACATGCCCAAATCTCTCAAAAACCTTACGGGTGTAAGTGATCCACGAGAGTGATTGTTGAAGTCTGCCGCCTTGTTGCTCAAGGCACTTCTTTCGGGAGAAGCATTCCCTGAATGGCCGCAGCCCTTATCCTCGCGGGCAGTCGGTTGGCCGCGACGGTGGGAGGCCACACGATCGGGGCCTGGCTTGGCGGCGGCGGCAGCGCGTGCGACTGCAGCTGCCACTTCGACGCCTCGCCCGACGAGGCATTGATTGGGCTTCTGAAGGGGCAACTCGACGGGTGCGGCCCCGAGCACCTCCACGGGCAGCCGGCGTTCACGCCCGCCTGCCGTCCCCAGGGCCACACCGGCCTGGAGCTGGAGCTGGGGCTCGCGCTGGCGCTCGGCTTGGTCGCGGGGGCAGCGCTCCGCGAGGTGGCCAGCTTGGCCTGCTGGCGGCGCGCCCAGGAGCAGGCAACGCCGCATGGCAGCATCACGGACGACCAAGGCACTCGAGAGCCTTCGCCTGGGCACTCGCGTCCTCGCCTTCTACGATCGCGAGGACAACTACTGGCATGAACGAGTGCTGGTCGGACGTATTACCCCGACCAGGTGGGTGGTGGTCACGCCACACTTCGACATTTACGGGGATGACTTCTCGGAAGCGCTGCGCCTCTGCTTGGTGGGCCCTCTCGGCGGACTGCCGACAAAGCTGCCTGGCCAGGTGCTCCGCATGGATTGGGATCGGTTCAGGCGGAACGAAGAGCAGCTGCTGAGTGAGCGCAAGGAGCTGGCCTGCGAGATCCGCCGAGAGGAGGGCCTGCCAGAGGAACCGCTCGCCCTTGCGCCGCTGCCGGCTCCTGAAGGGTATGTTGCAGAGCGTGTGGATCCAGGTGCTGGTCTTCGCTGGGTGGTCTTGGAGTTCAGAGCGGGCGACGAACCTGGAGACGAACTTCCGGCAGGGACCACGCCTGTTTGTACTTCTGGATACGGAGTCATTGTGGAGCTCGCGGTCGGCACGAAGTTGGCAGTTGGGAGCCACGGCGCCTTGGAGGGCACCGCTACACCCCGGCCAGATCGCGTCGTCAGAGCAGGACTTTCGGACCCTCCCCGTCAAGTACGACAGTGGTGGCGTCAGGACCAGACCGTTCACCGAGGCCGTGGACATCATGTCATCGAGCCCCATGGCGGACTGGCCCGTCTTGGGCCTGAAAACGACGCTCTGGTCGGTGCAGCAGTTTAAACGTTTGGGACAGACTCCGCTGCAGCGTCACACGTGGTGGAGGCAGACTCAGAATCCCACCGCCGCCAGTGCTGGAGTTGATGAACCTCAGTTTCTTTCTGAACCTCTGGAGATGGGGGAAGAGAAAAATCAACTCAATAAAGGGGAGCTCGCTATCTTTGAAGCTGTTTCGCGGAGGTACCGGTTGTGGGGAGAAGTCTACGCCGACAGACTCCGAGAGCACGAGGCGGGGCTCTTCGCAATTCTGGAACCTCAGCTTGGCTTGATGAGCGCGAGATATTCTGGGGGCAGGAACGGGGGCATGGAGGCGCCCTGGCCAGTCCCAAACTTCAGAGTTGGGTTGCTGCTCGCCTTCAATCAGAGGCCGCTGTACTCAAGGAGCGTCGCAAAGGTCGCGATGGGAAGATCATTGCTCGTGGTGGCGTGGCAGGGAGCAACGCATCCAGCGCAGCCAGGGCCAAGGCGAAGTCCAAGGCCAAGGGTGGTGCTGACGGGGTCTCATAGCCCCACCCGCATGTCGAAGTGGCTCGGTCGACCGCCTGCCCCTGCGCGGCCGACGATTTTCACGGGGGGGTGCTGGATCTACGGTGGTATGTTTTGTGACGACGGCGTCGGAGGCCGCCGTCGCGATCTGCTGCCTATTCCGATCGGGCCAGAACTTCTATCCATGCTGAATGGCGGGGCCGCGCGGGGCACTTCATCAACGGCGCAGCGGAGAGCCGCGACCAGGCGGCGCCAGGATCAGCGGCTTCTCGAGGGCATCGCCTCCCTCAACGAGCTGGGCTGGCAGGGGCGCTTCGCGCCCTCGCGCGCCCCGCTGACGGCGGCCCAGCGCGCTGCTGCGAGGCGGCTTGCCACGACCTACGGCGAGTGGTCGCCGCCCGCTGATCGCCCTCGCCCACGCGAACCGTGGGGGGCGCTACAGGGTCTCAGGCGTCGAGGCCTCGGGCGCTCGAACAGTCTACCAGCGGGGAAAGATTTCGCTCCCCAAGATCGGCGCTGGCAAGGTGGTTCTTCTCGAGATCCTTCGCGCGGGTCTGCAGTCCAAGCTGGGGACTGGGCGCGGGCTGTTGCGATCCCCAGTGGAGGCAGCAACGCTCGTTCGCGACGCAGGTGCCCCTCGTGCCATGGACCCGAAGCTCGGGGGGCTCGGCTACGACTGCGGCTACGCGATGGGCGAGTTGCTTTTTTCTGGCGTCATCGAGGCGAGCTCCGAGCCGGTGCTGCAAGAGGCAGGCATGTTTTTCCGCGGCGCGCAAAGACAAGCGTTTGCGCCTCATTTGCGATGCCGGGACACCGGGCATTTATTCGTCTAGTCAAACGGGTGAGGCCTTGTCTTCGCTCGAGGCGTCGGGTCGGGAGTCAATATGATTCGCGTGAGTTCTGGAGACGTTGACAGCTGTTTCTATCAGTGCGCCCTGCCGCCCTGGCGCAGGCAGCATTTCAATCTTCATGAGTGGCCAGGTTCGCTCTCGATTCAAGGTAGTGCCAATGGGTTGGAGTTGGGCGGTTCACTTCATTCAAGATGCGTACCTACACGCAGTCAGGTCGGCGTTGTCTTCGCAGCCCTGGTGCCTTGACACGCGCCCGGGCATTGACCTGAGCGTGGAGGGCGCCAAAGGATTTGCGCGTCGATGATTTTGCCGCGATGTCAGAGTCCGCCGACCGCGCAGCCTCGGCCGTCTCGGGCACGAAGAGGGCCCTCGCCGCCAAGGGGGTGGTCTCTCAGAGTCTCTCAGCTCGACCCACCGCGGGATGAGCGCGGCGAGCTGCTGGGCTGTGAGCTCGACTTGCAGACGGGCGGCGGGCATATGCTGGCCCGCAGGTTTTGGCGAATGCACGGGGCCCTCGAGAATGTCTAGGCAATGCGGGCCAGGATATCTGGCCGGGAGCTCGAGCGCTTAATCGGCCACCTTGTTGTCTCCTTGCTGGTGCTACGGCGCGAGGGCTTGGAGATGCCCCACTTCTCGCGCGAGTTCACGCGGGCCTCCCATTCCAAGCAACAGCCTCTCTGGAAGAGTTTGGCCCGCGAGCTGGGGTTGACGAAAGCGCTTCTGCCTTGCCTCCGCGCCGCCGCCCGCCGCCCGTGGATCAAGGCGGCCACCTGCTTCGACGCGGCGCCCCGTGGCCACGGCGTCGCGGAGGCCGAGCGGGGCCTGAAAGACGCGCGGCGCGTTGGCAGGGTGTCCGAGCGGGCTCGCTTCAGAAGGGGCGCCGGCAGCAGAAACGCCCCCCGCGAGAGGGCGCCGGTGCAGGGGATCGCGCCGGCGTCGCAGCCTGTCCTCCTGCTTGCTGGGCGCGCAGCTGGCTCCCCGCAGGTCGACTGCGGCAGGATGCGCGCCAGGCCTTGGCGGGCGGTGGGCTGCGGGCGCTGGAAGCGCAAGGGGGCCATCCACGGCCTCGCGGGAGCTGCCCTGGCCTGGGCGGTCCGCCGCGCGGCCAGAGACGCCAGACAGCATTGCTCGCGCTGGCTTCTTGTCGGGGATAATATGTCACTCGCCCTTGCTGCCGCCAAGGGCCGCGCCGCCAATCGTCGTTTCTTGGGAGTGTGTCGCGTCCCGTTCGCAATTTCAGTCTCCGCTGACTTGGTGTTCCAGGTTAGGCTGCCCCCAACCCGAGCGATGGGCCCTCTCGCCGTTTGAAACGCTTCCGTTTCAAGCCTCAAGCTCGCGAGGGCCCCCGCGGCGACCGCGGGCAGGATGGGGGTGGCGACGCTCCGGGCGGCGCCGCCCGCGCCGGTGGCCGCGGCGAGCTGCCGCTGAGGCTGCGGGCCTCGCGCGCCGAGCGGGCGCGAAAGCCGTTCGCCGCGCCGGGCAGCCCGCCGGCAGAAGCAGGGCGCGCCCGGGCGGGCCGCGGCGCCCGCGCTGGCCAGGCCAGGGAGCAGGCCAGACTGGGCTGGGCATCGCGCCAGGCTTGGCCGCGATCGCTTGGCGAGCGACTCCGACCTGAAGCAGCGCCAGCTCTGCCCCCGCCAGACCCGCTTGGCAGCGGCGAAGGTGAGGCCGCGCCCCCAAGAGCTCTACCGTCTGCCTGGGGGTGGACCTTGGCCTGGTGCGCTGGCTGGGTTTGGGCTGCCTCCCCGACTGGCAGCGTCGCGCTTGGGGCGAGACGTGGTGGAGTTCGCCGAGTCTGTTTGCGCCCGCGGAGGCTCCGCGGCGTCGACACAGCAACTGGCGCCCGCGCTGCTTTGGGCCGAGCCTGCCCTCCACCGAGCGGGGGCGCGCGAGGTCTTCCCGCTGGCGCACCAGACGCTCGAGGGCTGGAGCGTCCTAGAGCCGTCCAAGTCGAGGCCGCCGGTCCCATTCTTGGTGGCGCTGGCTGCGGCTTGCTTGCTGCGTCAAGGTGGAGGGCCGCTCGGCGGTCTGGCCGCCCCGATCATGTTCGAGACCTGCATGCGCCCATCCCAGGTCCTGGGTCTCCGTGTCAGGCAAGTCGCCCTGCTACTTCCGAAGGAGTGAGGGGCCGCCATCTCTCTGACATTCGTGGCGAGAGCCTCGGAGTGCGAGACGCCAACCAAGACGAACGAGTTCAACCTTTCATTGCCGCTCGATCTTCAGAGACAGCAGTGGCTGGTGGACCCAATCTCTGTTGCGCAGGCCCTTCGCGAGCATGGCGCCCTCTTTCTGGGCCTGAGCTGCGCGGAGCTCGTGGGGGACTTCCAGAGCGCCATCGCAGGCCTGGACGCGAGCTCACTCGAGCCCGCCCTCTACCCCCCCCGGCACGGGGGGGCGAGCGGCGACCGGAGCTCGGGCGTCAGAAGCTCAGGCGCCGCGCGACAGCGAGGGGGGTGGAAAGCGTTCAAGTCGGCGCCCCGCTACAAGAAGCACGGCCGCCCATCGTTAGCGTTTCGCGAGCTGCCCGACCACCGGCGCGAGGCGCTTCGAGCTGGGGGGAGGGACTTCGTCGCCGTCTTCAACAAGTCCTCGGCGCAGCGTTTCGGAGCGCCCCCCACCAAAAGTGAGTTTGCGTGGAGGTCTTCTCGGGGCGTGGTGAACTGAGCAAACGTGCGAGGCAGAGGGGGGTGGGGGGGCGTTGTAGAATGGGATGTGAAGCGTGGAGACCATTTCGATCTAAGTCGCCCTGGGGTCTGGAAGACCCTGCGAGGTTGGATGACTTCGGGACCTGTGAAACTCGTTTTTTTTGTTGGGGCGCCTTGTCGCGGTTACTCCAGAGCCCGTCGCGCCCCCGCGTCTAGCAACATGCCCTCGGCCTTCGGAGGCCCCGCCTTTCCCATGGAAGTCCCGGGCCTCTCTGGCAAGGATCTCGAGAGCCTCCGAGTTCCAATGGGCTGCGAATTCAACGTCTGCGTCATAACCTGGACATTTCTGGCGGGGCGGAGAATGCGCGGCAAAGCTTCCCGCGGCTTCGCCCCGACCGCCGTGCCTTCGCTAAGCTGCCAGACGTCCTGTGAAATCACTGGCGATGACTGTCCTTGCGGCCGCCCGCTTAGAACGAGAGCCATAATCATATGTTGGCAGTGCTGTCCGCATCTTGGTTTTGATAACTTAATTTGCCGGGGCAGACGTGCGTGCTCCTTCTCGAGCAGGCCTCGCGTTGAGCTCGCCGGTTTTTCGCGCGGTGGATTTCGCACCCGTTTGAAAAAAGTGCACCCTCCTGCCCTCTGCGCTTTTCTGGCCGAGTCCTTGCGCGGAGCATCCATGTCGCGGTCATCCATTCGATGATGGAAGCATATGCGAGGCTAGGCCCCAGTTGAATGCTTGAGTAAGGGCGTGTTGATCTGTTAGGTGATGGCAAAGTTGCGTCGCTCCTGGTCAGCCCAGCTTGCCCGCGCCGCGTTCGAATATTCAAGCAGTCTGTGCCGCTGGCAAAATGTGACGAGCATGTAAGTGATCCACGAGAATGATTGTTTATGTGTGCCGCCTTGTTGCTCATGGCACTTCTTTCGGCCCGCGCCATCCGAAAGCTTCGTTTTCCGCGTGCACCTCGAGCAAAGTTGCGTCGCTCCTGGCCAGCCCAGCGCGCCCGCGCCGCGTTCGTATCCTCGAGCAGTTTGTGCCACTGGCAGAATGTCACGATCAAATCAATGATGTTGGTCCCTTCGGGCCTTCCTGGAGGCCCTCTTGGAGGCCTCTCGGGCCGTCTTGGGCCATCTTGGGGCCATCTTGGGAGGTTTTGGTGGGCCCCTGGCCCGTCTGACGCCGTCGGAAGCCGTCTTGGGGGTTCTTTGGGCGTTTCAGATGCCTTTTGGCATTGTCTTTGGGCCTTATTGCCGCTGGCTTAGGGGCCTCTTGGGCCGTTCTGAGGCCATCCGCGAGGCCTCTAGGGCGATCTTGGGGGTTTCTCGGCCCGCATCGGGCCGTCGGAAGGCCGGAGAGGAACAAGCGCCAACATCTTTTAAACATTTGAGGAAATTAGTAATTTGTAGCCTCGTCGAGCCCTCTTGAAGAACCTCTTGGGCGCCTCTCGGTCCGTCTTGGAAGCCTCTCGGAGGCGTCGGGGGCCGTCTTCGACCGTCTTGGAGGCTCCCAGGTTGGACTTGGAGGCATCTTGGACTCCCTTGGGTAGTATTATTGGAGGCCGTCTTGGACCATCTTGAGCGAACTTGAGGGCCATCGAAGCCGTCCTGGAGGCCATCTTGGGCCATCTTGGAGCCGTCTGGAGATGTTTGGAGCAGGGGCAACCCTTGCAACCACCTCTTATGGCACCTTCCGGGTGGCCGGCGGGCCGGGCCGGGGCCCCGGGGGGGAGTTCTTTTTGAACAGGAACCAAAACCGACGCCGAAAAGATCCAGCACGCCAGGCACCCTCGTGGCAGGCCAACAGGCTGTCGGCCCATCCCGCCACCGTGCTGTGGGTTTGTGGGCCGTCGGCCTCTAGGGCGTTCGCTGGGATGTCGCGGGGGGCTTTCGGAAACCGTTTCGGGGCCGCTGTGGGGCCTCTTTGGGGCCGCGTTGCCTCTTGAGGCGTCGACGGGGCCTCTCGGGCGCCCCCTGGGGCCTCTCGGGGGCCTCTTGGGGCCTCGCGGGGCTTCCTGGGGGCCACTTGGGGCAGGGGGCAGGGGATATTCGGCTCGTGTTCCCTTTCGTGGGCCCTTTCCGGGGCTGTCTTACAGCCGCTTTCCGATTGCATCTTTACGCGAGAAGCCCGGCGCCGTTGCTGCTTGTCCGTGGAAGCCGCATAGTTACCCGTAGAAACCGCGTGGGAACATCGCGTCGGCACCGCGCGCGCTGTACATGGAAGCCGCTGCACGCCGTAAAACG